GGGAGGGGCGGGGAGGCTGTCGCCGTGCGGCGCTTCAACAACTGTCCTGCGTCTGACCTCAAAGTGCACAAGCTTCAAACTTCAGCGTTGGCTGCGATTTTGAAGCTGAAATCACGTTCAGTGTGAACGCACCATTATGCAGCTAACCTCACCTACAGATTGATCTGAGACCACCTCCTCTGGTCAAAGTTAGTTTGACGTAAAGGGCTTCCTGTACCTCCTCTCAAACCATGAGACATGTCTCACCTGTTGGTCTTCCAGATGTGGACTGTCTCTGCGTCATCAATTCCGTGTTTTTCTGCCATGTCGTCCAGGAAATCAAAAAAAAACCTGACGGCGATCGGAGGTGGACGTTTTGTACTGAAGATGGCCATGAAGACATCGTCCACAAACTTCTGCAGTGTCCCCTACAGAGACAAACAGGTGTGGAGAGACAGGTGGTCAGCTGCTCAGGTAAACCTCAGGTGTGTGTGTGCATGTCCATGTTTTTGCTACTTGGTGGGGACAATTTATCAGGAAAATACAGCCTTGTGGGGAMCAAAGCACAGTCCCCACAACTTCAGAGGCTGATTTTGGGTTGGGGGTTGGGTTTAGGACCAAGGTGTGGATTGAGTTTAGGTTAATTTTAGGGTCAGGTAGGCACCTGTGAGGTTAGTTTAGGGTAAATGTTCAGGGTTAGAATATAAAATTACCAAAATGTGAATAGAAGTCAAAGGACGGTCCCCACGAGGATATACAAACCAGACCTGTGTGTGTGTGTGTTACCTTCATGGACAGCAGTCGGGTCAGGTAAATCTCAGGTATGGCCTTGGCTCTCTCCCTCTCTCTCATGCTGCTCTTTCTGTGTTTTGGGATTTCTGGATCTTCACTGCTTTTAACCAGGTGCCACAGACGCAGGCCCTCCTCTTCCTCACTCTCCAGCATAGGCATTTCTGTGGTAACGACAGAGTGTAATAGTCAGCACAACTAGAACCAAAGTTCTGTATCGTTGGACACAATGTGTGGTACTTTGCTTTTTGTTTATCATGTTTTTGCTTTCTTTGTTTGACTTCTGTTACCAGTGTTTTCAGTTCCCTCCAGTTTATTCAGTGGTTCCTGCCCTTCTGTTTCTGCTCTGGTCCCGCCCACTTTCACCTGATGCAGTTTGTCTGAACCCACAACCCACTAATAGATTCACAATGTTCCAGATGTTGGTCATAAACACTTCTTAAAATTATAATTGATGCTATAATTCTCCAGTTTCTCTGGTTTAACAGTGTCTCACTCATGGCCCTACTGACCCTGCCTCACCTGTTATATTTTCTATAAATGTTAACTTCTGATGTTAATGTGTGCAGAGGACAAAAGCTTCATGTTAGAACTGTTGCCTCACAGTTGGTGTCAGTTCTTGATGTGTTCTGTTGGATTAGGGCTCATCATGCTGTTTGGTACTTACTCTCCCCAGTTTGGAACACCTGGTTGACTCCTGAACTGTGGGATTGAGGGATCAGTGCAACTGTGGCTCCATCTGGAACCTTGGGAAAAAAACATCACAGTAAGGGAGAAAGGAGTGAGAAAAAATAAAAACGTCAATCCAACCTTCACCGCTCCCTGGGCTGCCACCTTATCGTTGTGGAGAGGTTTGAGAGTCCCAATGATCCTAGGAGCTATGTTGTCAGGGGCTTCATGCCCCCAGTAGATTCACCCAAGGCAAACAGGTCCTAGGTGAAGGACCAAACAAAGTGCAGCCCAAAGACCCCCTATGATGAGTACGATGAATGGATTTAATGTTCCCTCGCCTGGATGCAAGTCACCGGGGCCCCACACTGGAGCCAGGCCTGGAGGTGGGGCACGTTGGTGAGCACCTGGTGGCCGGGCTTTCACCCATGGAGCCCGGTCGGGCACAGCCCAAAGACGAGACGTGGGTCCCCCTCCCCATGGGCTCACCACCTGTGGGAGGGGCCGTAGGGGTTGAGTGCAATGTGTGTTGGGTAGTGGTCGAAGGCGAGGACCTTGGCGGTCTGATCCTCGGCTACAGAAGCTGGTTCTAGGGATGTGGAATGTCACCTCTCTGGTGGGGAAGGAGCCTGAGCTGGTGTGTGAGGTTGAGAGGTTCTGACTAGATACAGTTGGACTCACCTCAACACACCTCTCTGGCTCTGGAACCAGTCTCCTCCAGAGAGGTTGGACACTCTTCCACTCTGGAGTTGCCCATGCTGAGAGGCACTGAGCAGGAGTGGGCATACTTATTGCCCCCCATCTCAGTGCCTGTAAGTTGGGGTTCACCCCAGTGAACGAGAGGGTAGCCTCCCTCTGCTTACGGGTGGGGGGATGGGCCCTGACTACTGTTTGTGCCTATGAGCCTAACATCAGTTCAGATTACCACCCTTTCTGGAGTCCTTGGAGGGGGTGCTGGAGAGTACTCCTAACGGGGATTCCCTCGTTCTGCTGGGGGACTTCAACGCTCATGTGGGTAATGACAGTGAGACCTGGAGAGGTGTGGTTGGGAGGAAGGCCCCCCTGATCTGAACCTGAGCGGTGTTTTGTTATTGGACTTCTGTGCTCRTCATGGATTGTCCATAACAAACACCATGTTCAAACATAAGGGTGTCCATATGTGCTCTTGGTACCAGGACACCCTAGGCCGCATTTCGATGATCGACTTTGTTGTTGTTTCATCTGATCTGCAGCTGCATGTTTTGGAAACTCAGGTGAAGAGAGGGGCGGAGATGTCAACTGACCACTACTTGGTGGTGAGTTGGCTCTGTTGGTTGGGAAGGATGCCGGTCAGACCTGGCAGACCCAAACGTATAGTGAGAGTCTGCTGGGAACGTCTGTCAGAGTCTCCCATCAGACAGAGCTTCAACTCACACCTCCAGGAGAACTTTAAACATGTTCGGGGGAGGTAAGGGATATTGAGCCCGAGTGGGCCATGTTCCTTTCCTCCACTGTCGAGGCGGCTTACCTGAGCTGCAGCCGTAAGGTTGTTGGTGCCTGTCGTGGCAGCAACCCTCAAACCTGCTGGTGGACATCGGCGGTGAGGGATGCTCTCAGGCTAAAGAAGGAGTCCTGTTAGGTCTTTTTGGCCTGTGGGACTCTGGAAGCAGCCGATAGGTATCGGCAGTCCAAGCGGATTGCGGCTCGGGTGGTCGCTGAGGCAAAAACCTGGGCTTGAGACTGGGAGGAGTTCTGAGAGGCCATGGAAAAAGACTTACGTATGGCTTCGAGGCGATTCTGGTCCACCATCTGGTGTCTCAGCGGGGGAAAGTGGTTCACCACCAACACTGGTTATGGTGGGGATGGTGTGCTGCTGACCTCAACTCAGGACATTGTGGGTCTGTGGGGCTGACCTCAACTCTGGACGTTGTGGGTCGTTGGGCAGAACACTTTGAAGACCTYCTCAATCCTACCGACACGTCTTCCCATGAGGAAGCAGAGCCTGAGGAYCCTGGGTCGGACTCTCCAATCTCAGGTGCCGAGGTCACTGAGGTGGTTAAAAAGCTCCGCGGTGGCAAGGTGCTGGGGGTGAATGAGATTCACCCAGAGTTCCTTAAGGCTCTGGATGTTGTGGGGTTGTGTTGGTTGATGTGACTCTACAATATTGCGTGGACATTGGGGGCATTTCCCCTGGATTGGCAGACCGGGGTGGTGGTCCTCCTATTTAAAAAGGGGGACCGCAGAGTGTGTTCCAACTATAGGGGGATCACACTRCTGAGCCTCCCTGGTAAGGTCTATTCAGGGGTCCTGGAGAGGAGGGTCCATTGGATAGTCGAATCTCAGATTCAGGAGGAGCAGTGTGGTTTTGGTCCTGGTTGTGGAACACTGGAGCAGCTCTACACCCTCAGCAGGGTCCTGGAGGGTGGATGAGAGTTCAGCCAGTCTAAATGTGTTTTGTGAATTTGGAGAAGGTGTTAGTCCGTGTACCTCGGGGACTCCTGTGGGGGGGGGGGGGGGGGGGGGTACTCCAGGAGTAT